GCAGAGAGTGTGGCACTACACCTTGTACCTAGGGAAGAGGTTATTCCCTGTCAGGTAGTGTTTTGATCATTATGGGTCGAGAGGTTAAGTGTAAGAGACCATTGCAAGGCTGATTATCCAATGAGCTTTATCGCACTTAAATCCATTATCCTTGGGTCTTCATAGGGTGACTGAATTCATTGATCATTTAGGTGTAAATGTTGGGCCCAAACTAAGCCCATGTTGATTGGCTCAAGGGTTCATTGTTTTGAAGATTGAATTCGATATAGCCTCTTTTAGAGGTGGGACCGGACCCTTATGGACTTGAGAGAGACCTTTCTAGGGTCCCACGCCATACAATATCAGGTCTAAAGTGGCCATGCAACACCTAGGGTCATGAGCCTTTGAAGAAAATGGGCCAAAGGCCCAATTAATAAGATTAATTAAACTATTGAATTGTCATGTGATTTGGGTCAATTGGTATTGGGTATGGAGCACTTATCCTCTCAACAAGACAATGTTTAATTGTTAAAGCAGTTCAGATAATCTCCTAATTAGATTAGGAGTGTGCTTCATTAAGAGATAAAAGGAGAAGAGGGTAAACAAGACTGGACTACCTCTCCCTCTTGTTCTCTTTTGTCTCCTAGGAAACCTTAGAATGATCAAGGCTTTAAAGAACTAATTTAGATTGGTTTTCTTCTTTGTTTTTGTAAGAAAAACATAGAAGAATAGTAGGCTCAATTACCCTACTCGATCCAAGCAAGTTGGATAGCAGATTTGCTGAAATCAAGTGTTACTGAATCCGTTCTTTGTACATTGTGCCATCTTTAGTTGAAGGCCGGTTTTAGGACTAAGAACGATCTTGAAAATTTAGATTTCAAATTTACTAGGAAATCGGTTCCTGTAAAGGTTAGAAAAATTTTTGAAAATTTGGCCAGCCATCTAGCATGGTTCAGCCATCCATTTGATGGATTGTAACTCTACTCCAACAAATAGGACAAGGGAGTGGGGGAAAATAAGAAAGTAATTACTATAGGTAGGCCTGTCAGTCAGGTTGGGTGGGTCGGGTTCGGGTTGGGTTAGCAAATGCTAGACCCTAATCTAGCTGTTTGTGTTAGGGTTGACCCACAGGTCAATTCGGGTTATCTCTAAAAATAATTGGAAATTTAAAGAATAAAGAAAAATACAGAAAATGCCGAAATAAAGGAATTAAAAAACTTGGAACATTCAACAATTCAAAAAGTAAATGATAAAGTGTAAAGAGTAAATAGTAAAGATTAAAGTGTGAAAACTTCTAACAACACATAAATAGTCCTAATCAGACCTGACAATCGGGTCAGCGGGTTAACCCATGACCCAACCTAATTTTTTTCGGATTGGGTTGGGTTAGGTCATTTTCACATTCAGGTAACTAAATATGAGATCCTAACCCTGTTTTCTCAGGTTAGGTTGGGTTAGGTTTGCGGGTTGGGTCAACTTTTTGCTAGTCTAACTATAGGGCATTGGGAACTTACAAATGACAATAAATGTAGCGAGCCAATAAAGCTTCTTGTGATATTATGGAGAGCATGTAAAACTATGTATTTGCCTATATATTTCCAATTGTGTAGCGCTGCAATTTTGGTTGGATTGAATTAACATTTTACATTGTTTCAAGTTTAGGCCACTTCAAATTTTGACAAAAGCCCAACCTTGGCTCTCACCCAACCAATTTGTACCTCTTTAATTGAGCCAAACCATAGCAGGTCCAACCAAGCATATTTTATTAATTTGTTTAAATTTTTTCTAATTTTATTAGCTTTTATTATTTTATTTATTTTGTAAATTTCTATTTTTTTTCTAGTGGAATCAAAATGGATTTTAAATTAACAAAAACATAATTTTAAAATAAATTCATAATTTTTATTAAATTTGTACTTGAATAATTTATTGAGTTAAAAGTCATGTATTTTAGTTCTTTGTAATTGTAATTGTTATGTTTAATTAACTATTAAGATAACTAATTATATTTTGGTTATTTAAGGCTATGTTTGGCTTGAAGGAAAAAGTAAGGAAAAGTAAGAAAACATATACAAAGTTTGTAAAAATTTTTTTAACTTTCCCTTTTTTTTCCTACTTTTTCCTTCAAACCAAACACAACCTAATACTATGATTTTTCAAAAATAATCTTAAGTAACTATTAAATATTTACCCACCAGGCATTAGCCAATAATGTGTACTTGGAACGATACAGTGTTCCTGAACACATTAATCGAATGATCTATATATCAGTATGCTAATGATGTCAAAAGATCTAAATTGATCAACTGTCATGCTATCTTTTGGATACATCAAACTTTGGTAATGTATTGTGTGATCAATTTTACATTTTGATTTTGAGGTTAAGATGATCTAATAATGGGTTGGCCACCTCAGTGTCGTAGTGGGAATTGTCGTAGGTCGGATATTGGTCCAATCCGATTAGATCTAAGATACAGCAAGAACAATCCAGTCTAATAAATACTTTGACCATTAAGTTTGGATTGCTTCAATTCACTGTTTTAATGGACCATCCAACTTATTCAATTTGGTTTTTTGGACTGGTCCAATTTAATGTGTTATTGAACCATCCAATTTGTTCAGATGGGATTCAACCCAAATTCGATCCATTGACAATCCTATTTATCTGTCAATGAACCAGATATTGATTCAATCCAACTTAATCCAATATGAATATATTATATGGATCAAGTCCAATCCAATCTAATAAATAATTTGGACCATCAAGTCTGAACTGATGTAATTCAATATGTCTTATGAGACTATCCAACCCATTCAAATAGACTTTGATTTGGATGGATCCAGTCCAAACTAAGTCCATTAATAACCCTAGTGGTGGGGCATATAACGCTTTATGCCATGGTTGTTAATTGCAGGCTAGACATCATAAACCCAGGTTTCACCTATTCAGGTCAGACCCATTTTAATCATTTTCTTTGCCCGACAACATAAACAGGTTTCATAAAAGCTGTTTAGAGGCTCAATCAGTTATTGGAAGGTGGACTTCTAGATGCAATCTTAGACCATTGTTTCAGCCATTATAGTTGTCATTTCTTTTTTCTGAAAAGGACCAAATAGTGTCTGTTAGTTATTAGGATGAAAAAGAAAATACATAATAGAAGAAGTAAAGATGGAGAGCCTTCTTTTTGGGGGGATTTTGAGAGGGTTAAGTTGGTTAATGGGATTTTGGTTTCCACTGACCAAAACATCTATGTTCTTTTTTTAGATTTATGTGAGATTCATGGAAAATTTATTTTCTCTAAGTGATACCCCATCTCCTCGGTGGGTACTTAACTTTCTCACGGGGAAGTTACTAACACTTGGATATGACAAAATTATCCATTTTAATAATATTTTTTTTGGATAAAATGGTCGCTTTCTTATTTACCTATGAAATAAAAGAACATAGCTAAATGCTAATGTTTTCAAACCACAATTGACCTGGACAATCAAATTGTTCGGCTTGGGAACCATCCAGGCAATTGGTTCCGTTTTACCTCAAACCCAGTCCCTGGACAAAAACTGTTGAATTAGTCAATGACTTGTTGATCCGGGTTGTCGAACCATCTACCTATTTGACCTATTCAACAGTTTTGGCTATTTTTTATTTTAATTATTTTATCAGAACAAGCTGTCCATTTGAACTAGACAGTCAATTTGTCAACCCAAAAACAGTGGCTAGAATGGTTCAGATTTTGGGTCATTTTTTTAAATATTGGTAAATGCAATTAACCAAGTAAGTATTTCCCAAGAAACACTTACTCAGGTAAATAACTTCCCAAAAAAAAAATGAACGGGCCAAAGTGTGTATTCTTTACTCACTATGAGAAATGAGAGGAACTCGTTCCTCAAGTCTTTATTATTCAACAACGAAAGTGGGCTAGATAGAGAAGAAAATCCCAATGCTACGTATAGACTAAGAAACCATTATAAAATGTTTGAAGTTCTAAAACTGCAACAAAAAATAAATTCTTGGACTGTGGAACCAATGATGAAGTTCCACGCCTGTAATAAATTCATGGACTCCACTATAAAAGGTGCGGACCCTATGTATTTTATTAGGGAAAATTCTTGATCAATACCCTGTACTTTGGCTCGAGTGATAATTTGGTCCACGAACTTTAAAATGTGACAAGTCAGTACCCAAACTTTCAAAATGTGACAATCCAGTACCTGGACTTTCAAAATGTGACAATCTAGTACCTACCGCTAACCAGTCTGTTAATCAGTGTTAAATGACATTTGAAAAATAAAAAATGCCTTAAGAATACCATCTAATTCTCTTTATCAACCATCCAAACATTGACAATAAAATGAACAGTTCCAAATTCTATATTCTTCTAACCAATCACCAACTTTTTTGAATAGAAGATGCTAGGATTAGAGTGTTCAATTTTTTATCAACGTTTGGATGGTTGATAAAAAAAATTAGATGGCATTTTTGACTTTTCAAATGTCACTTAACAATTGATTAATGGATTAATTAACGATAGATATTAAATTGTCACATTTTGAAAGTTTAGATACTGAATTGTCACATTTTAAAAGTTCAATGAAGTATCACATTTTAAAATTGAATACTAAATTATTACTGGAATCAAAATACAAGATACTTATCGTAAATTTTTCCATTTTATTATTCATGTTAACATGCTAAATAACCAAAGCGTTCAGCTAAACCTTTCGAATACGGATCAGGGTTACTGTACTTTAACGTGACTTACAGCAATATCTCTATCGTCCGTTCAAGTAAAAAATAGGAAGAGAGAAAACACAAGAAAAATTTAGATCTCTGTCGTCCGCTCAAGAAAGAAAATAGGAGAGAGAAAATACGAGAACAGTAGAGATCAAATTGCCAAGGCTTCCAAATCTTTGTTAATCGAGACAATGAGACTTTCCGTATAGATCCGGCAATCTGTAGCAACGGCGTAGATTAACCTCATTTCCCACAACAGTGCATGCTACACTTCATTGTGCATGCTACACTTCATTGTGCATGCCTTGTTCTCGTGCGCGCCATGATTCTCCCGACCAACGACCTATACACTGTTCCTTCTCCCGCGTTACGTGGCCACGTGGTGGACAGACGGCCGGTATCCCAGATATCTCACGTTGTTGTAGGTGAACGAACACCGTTGGTGCCGGTTGAAAGACTTGCTCGACGAGTCGACGTTTAACGCTGTGCTGCGAAGTCGCTTTTGGCTGCAGAAACGCCGAAGCAGAGAAGTTTGACGAGGGAAAGAATTCTCAGCGTTTTTGTTGAATACCAGAAGCCAAAGGCAAAAGTTAGATTTTCTAATCGTTCGAGGGGGGAGGTCCTCTGGAGCTTGATTTCTTCTCGATGAGAGATTTAATCGCAGTTTAGGGTTTTTGTTTGATCTCCACCGGCCATAGGTTCATAGAGCTCTTTCTTCAAGATGATGCTTTCGTTGCAGAGAGATGCTCGGCAACAGCAGCACCACCAGCAGACGCTGCAGCCGGCGGCACCAAGTGGGTTTGCGAGAGTTGCGTTCAAGGCCGATCGTGATGATTCTTTCGGTTTGCAGTCGGACTCCCTGGTGAATTTCAAGCAATCGCAGCAGGCGCCGGAAACTCATGAAGGTTCTTCGATTTGCTCTTCGAAAATATGGTTTTGATATGCCTGCTGGTGTTATAGATGCTGTAATTTAGGGTTTAGTGCTTCCTTTGTATTCCGCTGCTGAAGCTTGTAACTTGTGAGAGAAATTTGTAGTTTGGATTTCTGAGTTAGGTGTTAATGTTGAAACCATCGAATTCGATGAATAGTGTTATGTGTGAAAGATGTCATCTTTTTATATATAACAAAAATTTTCTTTTGAGTAAAGGCCTTCCTTTTCATTACCGAGCCTTGCTATTGACATTTCTGAATGTTCGAAGCTACTCCTGGACGTGCTTATGAATGCTTTCTTATTTTTGAATCTTCTTTTTCTTCTCATGTGAAAAATCTGTGCACTAAGCAACACTCCAGGATAAGTAAAGAGAAATGTCTTTAAAACAAAAGAGATTACATCTACGTGAAGAATTTTTACCAGATACCGAAATAGCAAATTTATCTCATCAACCATAAGATTACAAGCATCACTAAAGAGAACCAATACAACATTCTAATGTATCCCATAACTTATCTCCAAAATCCACCCTATTTTATATTTAATCGGACCCAATATCAACAGCCATTTTGTTTCTATCCCTAACATTGCCTTAAAAATATGTCTGTTCTGTTCTCTCCATAAACTCCAACAAACTGCAAAAGAGATGATGCTCGGATAAATAAGAGTGTCATGTCTTCTGGAACTGGAAGCCTCTCAACCTAAAATTATCCAATGGATACTATCTGATGATAATAGCCATGTGAAAGCTTCAACCCTTGGGGACAAATCAAAATGAAAAAAACCTTCAACTTGGGGTTATTGGATTTCCCCATGCTCCTTTAATGTTACTACTCTCTACCTGTTCTCTTAAAAGGACTTGACAGTAAATTTTCCATCTCTGCACTCCTTCTATCATCTCATGTCTGGTTTCCTAGTTTCCAATTTAACATCTTCCAAGTTCAAACTTAGAAAACAAGCCTATGCATCCTTCCAACTCTCAGTTGTTTTCAAGGTACCAAGGAAAGGCTAGGTGACAGGAGGTAAGTCTTGTTGCTTAGTTGCATAGGTGATGGATTATTTTAAATTTTTTTAAACAATAACCATGAATCATAGCACTATTCCCTAGGTTATAGCAATCACCAACCATATTTCACTAGTAATTATTATATATAATCTTCACAAAGGAGTATAAACTTCATATTGAAACATAGTAAATTAACATATTCATGAGAAGAAAAAGAAGGAAGAAAGGAAAACTCAGAAAATATAGGGGTTGAGCCCCTGTTTTTGTCCTAGGAAAAGAAGAAAAGAAAGGGTGGAAGAAGAATGTGTTGATTAGACCAAATTTTAAGTTCTTCTTTACTTATTGGTTCAGGTTTTGAAGTTTTCAAGGTCTCAAGATAGCATATACCAAAATGCCTATTGATTGAACCCTAACAAATAAGAAAATAAAAGGAAACAAGTATGTAAACCCCAAAAATGAACTACATAGTTTTATAATGTCTACTTTGTTATCATGATCTCAAAAAATAAAGAATATAAACATATTTCATAGTGTTACTTATAAAACATCCAGGCACTTAAGTGGGGTAGCCCTCCATGGGCACCTTCTCACCTAGGCATTGCCTTGACAACTACGAATGGATGTTTGAAAATTGGGCACCACCAAACAACCTGATATCTTCTTTTCAAAGCAATGGTTCACAAAATTGTTCTTTGAGCTTAGCTTGTACAATCTAAGGTATAACTTACACAGATTTCCTTCTCCATGCGGTTTGTCATTTCAAAACCTCTCTACTACCATCCCTCACTAAGAACTTAAATAGTTTAGCAAATTTTGCTTGAAGCTTCACAATCCCTTTCCATAGGTCCACTCCAAAATGTTGATGACACATCTCTAGTATCCAATTGTTACAGTATTGAAAAACTAAACAGCTTGGCTTGACGCATCCAACAGCCCTAACACTTCTAGTTTATTGGTCAAGTACATATTATCACAGCATACCACCATGTCTCAAGTGAGAATCATGGAAAGGGATACCTGGGTGAAGGGCTACCTAGAGTAGAGTGAGAACCATCACAAAGAGGGCTACCTAGAGTAGAGTAAGAGCCATCATGGAGATGTCTACTTGCTTCTAGAGTGAAGTTGTGGGGACTTAGGCTATAGAAATGTGATGGTCCTAAAAAACTAAACAACTTGGCTTGATGCATTTCAACAGTCTTAATGCTTTTGGTGTATTGATCAAGTACATAACACCAATTAATGTTCTCCATTCCATATTCACAAAAAGCCACCCTTCTCTAGAGATAATCTCTCTCATTTCCAAATCTCCACTACCACTTACCTAAGAAGGCTTTATTTAGGTCTCTAATTCTCTTCATCCTCACACAACTTCTTAGGCTTGCACACCTTATTCTACTTAACCAAATGAATCCTGTTTCCTTTCCTCCTTTCCAAAGTAAATCTCTTTGAATATTCTCCAAGGTAACATTGTGATGCCCTTCTAGCAAAATTAGTTAACCAGCCTTCTATGATGCCTCAGTGGACTAGGTGCTGAACCTTAGGGCTATATTGGCTAACTTTGAAATGCTCACAGGTTTGAAAGTAAACCTAGCTAAAAGCTTGTTGATTGGGGTGGGGGGAAGTAGGGAGGGAGGAGCTGGATCAGTTTGCTGTGGTGTTTGAATGTCAAATTGGGGAGCTGCCATTCCAGTGTTTGGGTCTTCCAGTAGTGTCTAAAGCTTCTGCAGCAGGAATTTGGAGACTAGTAGTTAAAAGAGTGGAGAAGAGGCTGGAGAGCTGGAAAGCAAAATATCTTTCTTTGGAGGAGCAGAATTACACTAGTTAGGGGTGTTCTCTCTAGTTTACCGACTTATTACCTCTCTCTACTAAATATTCCAGCAAAGGTGGCAAGAAAAATTGAGAAGTTACAGAGGGATTTTTTGTGGGAAGAGGTAGGGGGAGCTAAGAAATTCCACATGGTAAAATGTGTAGGCCAAAAGGGGAAGGTGGTTTGGGAATCAGCAGGGTCAGAATTTTCAACAAGGCCCTGTTGGGTAAGTGGCTGTGGAGGTTTGGGCTGGAAAGGGAAAAGGGGTCTCTTTGGAGGAGGGTAGTGGTTGGGAATATGGGTTGGTGAGGTTTGGGTGGGGGTCAAGGGAGGTCTCAAACTCTTATGGGGTGAGTGTCTGGAAAGGGATAATGCAGTTCAATCAAGAGTTTAAAACTTTAGTCAACTTTAAGGTGGGTGGTGGGTCAAAGATAAGATTTTGGGGGGACGAGTGGTGTGAAGCAGGGAAGTAAGAAAAGCATGTATACCTCTTTTCAGACTCCAGAGCTAAATAATAGCTTATACTTTTCAGTTCCAGATTTCTGCGTTATCAAACACCACCTAAATCCGAAGCAAGTTACATTGGTTGGATCTCAAGCAAGTTCCAGAAATTCTCCCCCAAGTCTAATCTGCTAACTTGATCAAAGTCTGGTAGCACCCATACCCAATCTGCAATTAACTTCCCCACCAGAGCCACTAGAACTTCTATGTTCTTAAATTTGTCTTCAAAATTCCTCTTGTTCCTTTCATTCCATAGTGTCCAGAACACAACAAAGGGAATAAATGAATAGTAACTCCACATAACTTTTGCAGTCTTGCAGGTAGAGAATAAATGTAGGGCAGATTACACATAAAGCACCAATTAGGGGACAAACACCAATTAAAGAATAATAGTAATTCCACATATCAGCAAATGGTCACAGTCCTCACCCTTCACTTTACACATAAACCACCAATTAGGGGACAAACACATATAGGGTTTCTTCTTTTGCAAGTTTTCCACACTATTGATCTTACCGTAAGGGGCTTCTCAACAGAACACATCTATTTTAGGAGGTATTGGCCTTGGCCAGACCTCTTTAACTGGGGAGACTTGAGAGGAGGGGGTGGAGCAAAGGGATTTAAAAAAAGATGCACAAGAGAAGGAGCCAACCGGGGTTAGAGACCAAACCCTTTTATCCAGGTTAGGGGGTCCAAACACATTGAGTCTAGAAGCAACGAGAGATCTGAAACACAAGAAGATTTATCATCCCTTAACCCTCTTCGGAACCCAAAATCCCAGTTTAAAGCCAAAGGAAGAACTGGGGGGGGGGAGGAACCTTGAAATAGGTTTCATTTTAAGGAAGGAGATGGAATAGAGAGAAGGGAAACAATCTCTTAGGGGTTGAGTTCCCACCCAAATATCTTCCTAGAAAAAAACGGAGTTTCTAGAACAAACATCATACCTTACAAACCTGAGGAATTTGGGGAGAATGCCAACAATTGCCTTCCAAGGTGTTGTGAGCAAAGCCCTTCGAGATACCCCCGTGTCCCAACCTGATTCAGAACAACTATGGATACTCTTCATTACTTCATGCTACAACCTCTCTCTCTCTCTCTCTCTCCAGGGGCCACCTCCAAAGCCACTTACCTAAAAGAGCTTCATTCTTGCTCACTACATTCCCTACTCCTAGGCCTCCTTTTTTGCTTCGACTCACCACCTTCCACCTAATCAAGTGATCTGTTTTCTCTTCACCAGGTTCCCATAAGAAGTCCCTCATCAATTTTTCCAACCTCTTTGCCTCCCTTTTAGGAATTCTAAAGACTAAAAGGAAGTAGATTGGCAAGTTGGCTAGAGTTGCCTTAATCAAAGTAACTCTACCCCTCAAGGAGATATGGTTTCTCTTCCAAGCTGCCAATCGTTTTTTCAAATTTCCCATCATCGGGTTCTAGAACTAGGTAGGATAAAGGCTACTGTGACCAGGTGCAATCTAAATAGGTTGCTATAGATTCCATCTCCTCTCTGTTCAAATTTATTCCCACAACACAACTCTTCTCAAAATTTATCTTCAAATTTGAAGCCTTCTCAAAGTGAATTATTAAATCCTTTAGATTTCTTACCTCCATCAGATCACAACCTTCACAAAAGATTATTATGTCATAAGATCACCCTCTTAAGGAC